TCGTTAGGTTCAGCCTAGCCCAAACAGTATTTTAGGTTTCTTCTTCTCTCCTAACTGCTAGTGGTCCTGCGAGGCCTGCTCCCGTACTCTATTTTCAGAGTAATCTCAACTATAGGCACCTTGCATAGTTGTGCTGCGCAGGTCGCATAGTTAAATTTCACGCCTGTCAGGACCATTTGATCTTGACTCTTATAATATCAGAGAGGCCAAAACCCCTCCATATATACGTTTTCGGCTACCTTTTCCCATTCGGGCCGAATCATAGTTAGAGCCTCTCCTACAATTTAGCAGGGCCTTATTTTCCCCAAATGCTATGCATGTGTTTCCTTTAACATTCACCACAAAGCAATTAATTCAGGAAATCGTTCCAAATGTCTTTATGCAATTTCTCCACCAGCCCCCTTTGTGTTGATAGAAATATACAGGATTCACCGACTGTCACGGCAAGGGTGCATAATTTATTATTACACTATGGAATATTATCGAATATTATCCTGTAATGTAATTTGTGTAGTAAATGGCACAAATTACAGAGATGGTATTGCTGAGGTCAAAAGGAGTTACATCTTTTGAAGCTGGGACCTCCACAGAGGTCAGATGACAGAAGGGGTAGTATGAATGGCATAGCGATGTGAAAGGGATTTTACCATATGGATGTGAAGTAATCAAGGCTCTGCAAGGTGTGAGGTTCTACACTTGGAAAAAGTCTGAATGTCTCTTCATCCATTTGGCATGTACCTTGTAAGTGATGAGTAAATCTCTTTGATATGTAAATGCCATTAGCTTTGTTCCAGTATCATATCCAAAGGAAGGACAAAAACATTCATATTTACCCCCACAGAATAATAATAAAGCCTAATTTTTGTTATATTTGGAATGTGACAAAGCCATCTTCTAACCAAGTCCAATCATGAGTGGCCTAACTTGACCCTAGGGAAAGGAATTGTGATGTCCGTCCTATTGGATCATGGGTGGGACGTGCAACATGTCTATGGAATGGGAAAATAATAACAAATTTGTAGATGCAATTATTATTTCTGAGGCAGGTACAAAAAAGAAGATAGAGTCAAATGTTTCCATTTGGATTGACAGTGGTCTGGAACAAAGGAGGTGGTCAGTTATTATTTCTGTAGGTACTCCTTAACTCCACCCCTGGGCAAGACTTGATAAACCACAGGGTATATATTTAATGATCCTGAAAGGTGCTTGTGTACTTGCTTGGGGCCAAGATCTAATTTTGAGTGTGTCACCACCTTCCCTTGCCAGAAACCCCCTGGACAGAAGTTGTACTTTGAAAACCTAGGTGGACTTCTGTATTTTATCCTTTTTGTTTTTATCTGTTGTTGGTGTAAATAATTTCTATATCATATATTGTTATATGCACTGTGACTATTTTTGCTCATAATAAACATTAATTTATTAAGTTCTGCCTTTGTCTGGTTAAGAATCACGTTACCTGAAGAGACTAGTTAGTATTTTTGTTGGTTAATCCAGGCACTAAAAGAAATTGTGTCTCAATTTCCAAAGGCTAAACTCAGTGCATATATAATATATTTACACCTCAACAGTCCCCCCCCTTCTCTGTTTTTTCTTTGCTATCTTTTATTTACCAAATGGAGTACCAGGCGCAGTCCAAGGCAGTGCTAGACCAGCTTTGCCGGGAGAGATCTATTCCCTGTCGGGGAAAAACCAAAGCACTGGTGGACTATGATATGCAACAAGCGGTGCGAAATGATGCCTCAAACACTGCAGAGGAGATACCTGCAGCTTTTGTCAATGATGTACCGAGATCTGGAGATCCTTTGGATTCTTACTTGCAAACTGTGTTGAAATATGTGGATTCAGCAGATACAAACCAAAAACTGTAGCTTATCCTTAAATATCAGGAGGCTGAAAGAGAGGCTGCAGAGTGGCAAGCTGAAAGAGAGGCCGCGGAGCACCAAGTTGCCAGAGAGCATGAGCTAAAAATGGCTGAGTTGGAGAGGTTGACCTTATAAGTATTAATTCCAGAGACTCTTCTGCACCCAAACCACGTGCAGAGAACTTTCCAACTTTGGACAAAGATGGTGATTTGGATGTTTTCCTGCGCAGTTTTGAAAAAGTTTGCAGGCAGTACCAGCTACCAAAGGACCAGTGGGCAAAATACCTCACGCCTGGTCTCAGAGGTCCTGCACTGGAAGCATTTGCTGCGCTTCCAGCGGAATTTGACCAGGACTATGAGGCGATTAAGGCTGCCTTGCAGGAACGGTACAACCTTACTCCTGAGGAGTACCGAAAGAAATTCAGGACTTTGCAAAAGCATCCCACAGAAAGTTATGCAGCAGTTGTGGGACACCTGGCAACAGCATTCAGGCAGTGGACTACAGGGCTGAAGATTACCACTTTAGAAGGTTTGCAAGATCTGTTAATAAAAGAACAATTCTTGCAGCTCTGCCCAGCCGATGTACAGGAATGGCTGCTGGACCGGAACCCTAAGACAGCATTGGAAGCCGGTAAGCTGGCAGATGTCCACACTGCCAACTGAGCAACAGTGGACCAGAACAGAGGTTTTGCCAAGGGAGCATCCAACTGGAAGACCACACCACCACGGTTCCCCATCACCAGGCCTAGCGGGCCATCTTTTGTTTCAGCTCCTACCTCAGGGAGAGGGGGAGCTAGTGCCATGTCTGCTCAAGGAGATAGTCGCAGATGTTTTATTTGCAACCAAGTGGGGCACATTAGTATTTCTTGCCCTGGGAAACAGCAGCCAGCATCATCAGCTGGGGAGGGGTGCTCCTCAGAACCAACGTCCTCTGTGTTGTTTATAACCAGATCAGATGGCAGCAACCTGTGACAGTTGGAAGAGAGGTAACTGTGGGACTCAGGGACACTGGGGCAGATGTGACTCTTGTGCGTCCAGAGCTAGCGCGCTCTGAGGACTTAATTCCTGGCAGGACTCTAGCAGTTAAAGGAATTGGAGGGGTACGTCTTGTAGTGCCAATGGCACGAGTTTATTTGGATTGGGGAGCAGAGAAGGGTTTCAGAAATGTGGGGGTAGATGAGAATATCCCTGCAAATGTATTACTTGGTACTGACTTAGGTAGATTGTTATCCCAGTATGTGCCTGAAAGTAATGTGTGTTATAAACCCAAACCTCATAGGTGCCCTACTGTGCAGAGGGCAGTATGTACAAGTGTACGTAGACTACCATGCTGGGAGGGAGGGCAGAATGTGTGTCAATCTGTGCCAGAACCAGGGGTGTCCGTGGAAACTTGTGAAAATGTATGCAGACAATTGTGCTGGGAGGGAGGGCAGAATGAGCATGTGTGCAGGTCTGTGCCTGAACCAGAGGTGTCTGCAATATCATGTGAGAGTGTGCCAAGTTGCTTGGGGGGAGGGCAGAATGAGCATTCTACCAGGATGGGGCAAAACCAGGGCTGTCTGTGGGACCAGTGGAAAGTTTGCCAGGGCAACTTCGCTGGGAGGAAGGGCAGAATGTGTGTCAATCTGTGCCAGAACCAAGGGTGTCCGTGGAAACATATGAAGGTGTATGCCAGCAATTGTGCTAGGAGCGAGGGCAGAATGAGCATAAGTGCCTTTCCGGGCCAGAACTAGGGGTGTCTGCAATACCATGGGGGGATGGACAAAAACAACTTCACGGGGAGGCAGGGCTGGATGAGCGTGTATGCTTATCTGTGTCAGAGCCAGGGTTGTTTGAGATGCCATGTGAAAACACAAGTGGATCAAACCACTGGGAGTCAGGGCAGGATGAGTTGATGTGTTCACCTGTATCTCAGTCAGGAGTATGTCAGGTGCCAGAACAAGGAGAAAGTGAGTGGCTATGTGTGATTGTGGCAGGATGGCCTGGCTGGGAGAGGAAATTATGTGAGTGTGCACCACATCATGTGCCTGACCAAGAGGTGTCAAATGTGTCATGTGACCATGTGCATGAAAAGCCTTCTAGGGAGAGAGGGCTGAATGAATATGTGTACCAATATGTGCCTGAAGCAAATGTATCGGATGGGCTGTGTGAAAGTGTGGAGGGAAAGCATGGCTGTAAGAGAGGGCAGAGTGTGTGTGGGCCTTTCTCTGTGCCAGACTCAGCCAGTGTCCAAGGTTCTGTATGTGTGAGGACATGGAGTGAAAGTGAGGGAGAGACAGAGGTTCCATCAGTAGCAAGGGGGACCCGTCCACGGCCTACCCAAAGTGAGGGGCAGGGACAGACTCAGCCTGTGGGTCCAGGGAGAATGGCCGCAGGGGAGCATACTGATGGGGGAACCAGGAACCTGGTCAGCTTATCACAATCACACCTCACACATACACCCAAGCCAGCTAAGGAGAAGGAGTCTGTCTCTAAGTAACTTTTTGATTCTGAACCAAAGGTTCAGAGTAAAAAAGTGCAACAAGCCCATCAGACAGACCACAAAATAAAAGAGATAAGGAGTGTAGATACAGGGCAGGTACCCTGGGAGTGTCCTCTGTCTCATCTTTTGTGTGCTTACAGGGGAGTACTGCAGAAATCAGTTGGTTTCTTCCCCTTAGAGCTACTACAAGGGCGCAGTGGGTGTGGCCCAAGAGATGTGACCAGAGCACAGTGTGAGATGGAAACAGGCAAACCAGGCATGTGTGTTGTGGATATGGCTGTGATATGGCTTAGGGACAAAGGGCAAGCCTTTTTGGGGGAGGTGTGTGAACACATGAGGGATACCCCATTCGTGGTAAATGGCACAAATTACAGAGATGGTATTGTTGAGGTCAAAAGGGATTACATATTTTGAAGCTGGGACCCCCACATAGGTCAGATGACAGAAGGAGTAGTATGAATGGCATAGCGATGTGAAAGGGATTTTACCATATGGATGTGAAGTAATCAAGGCTCTGCAAGGTGTGAGGGTCTACACTTGGAAAAAGTCTGAATGTCTCTTCATCCATTTGGCATGTACCTTGTAGGTGATGAGTAAATCTCTTTGATATGTAAATGCCATTAGCTTTGTTCCAGTATCATATCCAAAGGAAGGACAAAAACATTCATATTTACCCCCACAGAATAATAATAAAGCCTCATTTTTGTTATATTTGGAATGTGACAAAGCCATCTTCTAACCAAGTCCAAACATGAGTGGCCTAACTTGACCCTAGGGAAAGGAATTGTGATGTCCGTCCTATTGGATCGTGGGTGGGACGTGCAACATGTCTATGGAATGGGAAAATAATAACAAATTTGTAGATGCAATTATTATTTCTGTGGCAGGTACAAAAAAGAAGATAGAGTCAAATGTTTCCATTTGGACTGACAGTGGTCTGGAACAAAGGAGGTGGTCAGTTATTATTACTGTAGGTACGCCTTAACTCCACCCCTGGGCAAGACTTGATAAACCACAGGGTATATATCTAATGATCCTGAAGGGTGTTGGTGTACTTGCTTGGGGCCAAGATCTAATTTTGGGTGAGTCACCATCTTTCCTTGCCAGAGACCCCCTGGACAGAAGTTGTACTTTGAAAACCTAAGTGAGTAATTAGGACTTCTGTATTTTATCCTTTTTGTTTTTATCTGTTGTTGGTGTAAATAATTTGTTTATCATATATTGTTATATGCACTGTGACTATCTTTTTTGCTCATAATAAACATTCATTTATTAAGTTTTGCCTTTGTCTGGTTAAGAATCACGTTACCTGAAGAGATTAGTTAGTGTTTTTGTAATTCCTTGAATATTGTACTAAGTAATATTTGGTGGGTTTTATTGTTGATTTACCTGGGGGACCAAGGCACCCCATTTATAAATTGTCTTGGTGGTGGCTGCGTTAAAATAGTCATAGTTATATTATTATGTTTAAGTGTGGGTGGTGTTAAGGGGGATTTTGTTATTATTTCCTGTCTAGTGCAGACAAATAGTGAACTTTAACCCTTTCAACACCACAACTACGTCACGCACACTCTTGAAGTATGGTGCGTTCGTGACACCGACCGCCAGTCACATTCTGTCTCCGAGTTCCCTTCTAAATAGTAAGAGGCTCCCTTTCCACCTCCGCAATCCCGTGTCCTCTCCAGGTCTCTGACCGCAACCATTTACCTCTCAATGTCCAAATTCAGTACACCTGAAGGGGCTCGCTCTCCAACCATCTCATGGGCATTGAAACTCCCAGGTTTCCCATACACCAGAAAGCCACAGTCTCATGGCTCACTCTGCCCTAGCCCCCACCCACGACCACGCTCCTACATGTTCAAACTCATGTCATCATACTCCAAAAAACATGCTTTCTTATAAATTCAATGTGAATATTCCTGTCCTAATTAGCAGAGATTTTGCCTAGATTAGGTGTTTTTAATAAAACTAGCAAAATCGGTCAGCACCAAAGTAGCTGTTTAGTAGATAAGGGAGTGCGCTGGATTTTCATTTTTACTGTACTTATTGGCCTCCAGCAGCACCCCATTTAAGCACTTTCAGGTGAGTGCAGCCAACCCCTTGTTTTCTCTAATTAGTAGAGAGGGAGTATCTTACAGGACAAGACTTGTTTTGGGGGATTGATTCATTCACTCCATTGCTAGGTCACAGGACTGGGTTTGTTCTGTTAGATCGCTTTACACCTATAATCTGTTATAATGAATCTCTGGATGTGCCTTATTGGCATGAAATATGTTAGCTTTTTTTCCCCTCTTAGTGCCACCCCTCCGCCTCCCTCCACGCACTTTGTTATTGTTTTTGATTTTTAATGTTTTATTCAATAAAGCTCTATTTGTTTTCATACACAAAAGGAATTCTGTTCCTGCTATGGACTCTGCATTCCTGTGAATTACACCATGTTAGTGGTGGGTGGGGAACCCATATATCAGGACTCTTGTGCTAGGCAAGAACTATATATTGATTTAGATTTGTTTGCCTGTTTTTTTTTGGCTCCAGACTTGTTACAATTTACATTAGCAATATTGGAAGCAGAGTTCAGCTACACTGTCCCAATCTACAACATGGCCACCCCTGCCATACACTGCAGTCCATGTGCAGTAATAGAATGTCATGGTGTGTAGTCAGGAATTTCTGTATATCTAGTGTATGGTATAGGTGAAGGGGTAGGCAACCTTCGGCACTCCAGATGTTGTGTATTACATCTCCCACAATGCTCTTGCAGCTATAATGCTGGCAAAGCATCATGAGAGGTGTAGTCCAAACATCTGCAGTGCCGAAGGTTGCCTATCCCTGGTATAGGTCATGTCTGTATCATAGGCATGGTATATGGTCTATGAGTGTATGCAGATATGAGTTGGGTGTGTTGCACCATTAGCTTTATTTGCACCCTCTGTTCCAGCCATAAAATGTGGGTCTCCCTTGCATTGTGGCAGAAGAGGCACGCTCAGCCCATCAGTTTGCGTCAGACCACAAAGTATGGTGCTAGAAGAGAGATGACACAAGTTTGCTTGAAAGTAGGCTATTTAAAGTAGGAGTTAAAACAACAGGAGTTTGTTGGTGAACTGGTGGACTGTGGATGGTATTAGTTAATTTTTCTCTTTGGATATATTTAAACTTTGTCCCTTTTCTTCTATATTTTCACCTTGCTGGTGTTATTTAAAACGTTTTCCCTCCCCTCCCTTTTTTCCCCCTCTCTTGTTGTTTCTATTCCCCTCCTTGTGGGTGCTGCTGCTGAGCTAATTAGGGGGAGTGCCCCTTAATTTCCACCTGTGTGGGATTTGTATTGCCAATATAAACCCACTACTGACTCACAGAGCTTGCTCACTGGAGTTTGCTTGAAGGTAGGCTATTTAAAGTAGTGTCTTTTAAGGAGGAGTTAAAACAACAGGAGTTGAAACTACAAGGGAGTTTAAACCAAGAGGGTAAATATCGTTTTTCTCACTTGTGTTTTTTGTTACTGGGGATGAGTGCTAGCAAGATTGCAAATTTAACTCAGTGCACATCATGCCACATGTATGCATGCCTGGATGATTCTGTCCAGGGTCCATACCTCTGTGGTGGGTGTGAGCGAGTGGCATTTCTGGAAGCTCAGATTAGAGATCTGGAGAGGCAAATTGTAACACTGAGGGAGATTGACAATCTTGAGAGGAGTCTGCTGCTCACTGAGCGGAGTTTAGTGGGGACAGGGAGGAGATAAGACAGATGGGGAACAGGCACGTAGCTGGGTGACAGTGGGGCGAGGAAGCAGGGGGGGAGGGAAGAAAAAAGGTTTAGCTAGTCCTGATCTCATGCAGCCTAACAGATTTGCCCGTTTGAGTGAAGATGTTGGGAGCATCAGCTGTACTGCAGGAAGCTGTTCCTGCTAACAGCCGTGGAAACAGCCCCTCTAGTACGGGTGGGGTTGAGAGGGTAAGGAAATCTAGACAGGTTGTGGTGGTAGGGGACTCTATTATTAAGAGAGATTAGAGAGGTCAATGCGTGGCTAAAGTCTTCGTGCAGAAAGGAGGGTTTTGGGTTTTTAGAGCACTGGGCCGATTTTGCGCTTGGGTACAACCTGTATAGTCATGATGGATTGCACCTAAACGGAAGAGGGTCTGCTGTGCTGGGGGATAGGATGGCTAGAAGATTGGAGGAGATTTTAAACTAGTGGTAGGGGGGGAGGGTCAAAGCAGTCTAGAAAATGGAGATAGGATGGAAAGGAGATGGGCTTTAGCTCAGAACAAAGGGGGTGGAGATGGGGGGAGGGGAAAGCTCAGAACAAAGGGAGTATGTAATATTGATTCACAAAAAGTACAAAAGACTCATGATAATATTAAATGTATGCTTACTAATGCAAGGAGCCTATATAACAAAATGGGGGAACTAGAGGCAATAGCATACACTAAACAATATGATATAATAGGCATAACAGAAACATGGTGGGATGAGACACATGACTGGGCAGTTAATATAAATGGGTACATGTTATTTAGGAAAGATAGGAAAAACAAGAAGGGTGGTGGGGTATGTTTGTATGTTAACCATGAGTTAAAGTCAAATCTTAGGCATGTGGAGTGTGACGAGGAAAAGGTGGAGGCTTTATGGGTAGATATCTGCTTGGGGCACACAAAGGGAAATCAATTATTGGTTGGGATATGTTATAAACCACCTAATGTAAATATTGTTGAGGAAGAACAGCTGTTAGAGCAAATTGAGAAAGCTGCAAATCGAGGTAACACGTTAATTATTGGAGATTTTAATTATCCGGACATAAATTGGGACAGAGGGACTAGTACTTAAGCAAGGGGAATCAGGATTTTGAATTTGTTAAATGACACCTTTATGTCACAACTGATACAAGCACCAACTAGAAAGGATGCTTGTCTGGATCTTGTCATAACAAACAATGTTGATCTTTTAACCAACATTCAAGTAGGGAAGCATTTGGGAAATACTGATCACAATATGGTAAATTTTGAAATAAACTCAAAAAAGCAAAAGCAGGTGGGGTATACTAAAACATATAATTTAAAAAAAGCCAATTACAATAAGATTAGGGCAGCTCTACAACATATCGACTGGCATAAACTCCTTAGTGATAAAAACACTGAGGATAAATGGAAACTATTCAAACAAATATTAGAAAGGTACATTTCTCAGTATGTACCATTGGGTAATCAATATAAAAGAAACAAATTAAAACCAATGTGGCTCCGTAGAGAAGTAAAACAAGAGATTAAAAATAAGAAAAGGGCATTTAAATCAGACAAATCAAAGGCATCCTATTTAAGATATAAGGAAGCCAATAACGCTTGCAAAAAGGCAATTAAAGGACCACTATAGTGCCCCCACCCTCAGGGTCCCCCTCCCGCCCGGCTCTGGAAGGGGGAAAGGGGTAAAAACTTACCTTTTTCCAGCGCTGGGCGCAGAGCTCTCCTCCTCCTCTCCGCCTCCGTTACGCCCCGCCGGCTGAATGCGCACGCGCGGCAAGAGCTGCGCGCGCATTCAGCCGGTCTCATAGGAAAGCATTTACAATGCTTTCCTATGGACGCTGGCGTGCTCTCACTGATTTTCACAGTGAGAAGCACGCAAGCGCCTCTAGTGGCTGTCAATGAGACAGCCACTAGAGGATTAGGGGGAAGGCTTAACCCATTCATAATTATAGCAGTTTCTCTGAAACTGCTATAATTATGAAAAAATGGGTTAACCCTAGAAGGACCTGGCACCCAGACCACTTCATTAAGCTGAAGTGGTCTGGGTGCCTAGAGTGGTCCTTTAAAGTGGCTAAACTAGAAAATGAGAAATTGATAGCTAAAGAATGCAAAACCAACCCCAACATTTTTTTCAAGCACATCAATTCTAAAAAAACAAAAAATGAAAGTGTAGGTA